TGGATAGGGGTTTCCCAGACCAACAGGGGGTTGACTGTGAACACCATACTCTGCACCCACCACCACCAACTGCCCCACCAAGGGCTATGACACTTGCCAGCATCATTACAAGATGAGGGAATTGGATTTAAATATGTCTTACGAACGACCAGGCCAGCTTACTCTCAGTGGAAACAAGGTACAATTTTTACCTCCAAGTGACCCAGCCTTGGTGCTTCCCTGTGACTCAGTCCTCAGTGCCCCAGAGCCTTATGTTCACAGTGCCAGAGCCTCAGCCTCCCAGTACCCTAGATCTGGCAGAGCACCATCTGCCCCATGTCCCAGCAGCGCCATCTACCCTCTATCCTGGCAGTTACATCTGCCCCCTGTCACAGCAGATTGTCTTTTGCATCCTCTCCCAGCAGAGCGCCATCTGCCTCCTGTCCTGGCTGAGCCATGCTGGGTACAGTTCCAGTATTGGAGGTCCACCCTGGTTCCCGTCGACTGTCCTGTCCACTCCTGGTTACCACTCCATGGTCTGGACAACTGCCTGTTCTCCTGGTTCCCTATTAGAGGTCCTGCGTCGGCCTGTTTCAGGTCCCCCGTCCTGGGTATGGACGATGCCTGTTTCTGGTCTTCATTTTTGAGGCCCTGCGAGTTGTTCCTAAGCATCCTGCATGCTTTCTTGACCTGCTTAACACACCTTACAGTCTGCTAGCGGTTGGGCCGTCAGTGGAGGTGGTATATGAAAAGAGTTTAATAATTTTATATTTTCAACACACACATGTAATTAAGAGTTTTCTAAGTCATCATGGCCTACTAAGAACTACAATCTATTGACATTGCAAAAAGCTGATGTTTTTGTTGTGTTAACATTAACGGTAGCTTAAACTTCTGTTAAATATTAACAAAATAGTCAATAGTCAAGCTGTTTGTTGACAGATTAACAGTTAACAGAGTTAAAGTTTAGATTAACTGTGCCACTCTCTGTTCATCTTTTCTCTGAGCCTCTGTGTGCACTTTTCTCTGATCAAAGAAGTTTGGATTTAATGAGAAATGCAGAAAGTACCGCAGGAATACATTTTTCAACAATAAATTTAATCAGTTTGCAATAAAAATATATTTTTGATTTGATTCACAGTTCAAACAAACATACAACATATTTAAATAGTAAGACTGTTTGATACCACCTGAGAGAATGTTTGGCATTATAAAGAGAACTGTAGTCTTTAACCTTTCCAATTTGAACACACCTCAAAAGAGTTCATAAGTAGTAGCTGTACAGTTGAATTACTGTGTAAAGTTGCAATTCTACCCCAAGTACACAAGGTGGCAGTCTCTGTCTATAAGACCATTCCTAAGCTATTCTTGTAAGCTGCTTTATTTCCCTCAGTTTCATCAAAAATGTAGGTGTGCAGGTTTTCAGAGAAAAAATGCTTCTGTAAAGAGCCATCAAACCTGCAATACTGACCAGAGAAACAAATAATATACTGTAAAAGCCATATTAAAGTGTAAACAATTCAATACAGTGGTGTGATGAACTATTTACAATCTACATAAGGCCTTAAAAAACAGCTTTAATCTACAGGACACAAAGTGTGGTGACATATTTTAGCTTGAAAAATATCAAATTACTGCATGCGTCACCTTGCGATTCAATAATACCTTGCAACCAAAATGCTGACTATGCAGGTTTTGTTATTTAAGAGCAGCATCTCTTAATGGCCTAGAAGAAGCCAGCCATCTTATTAGAAAAAATGACTTGGCACACTTCCCATAAATAGCTCTATTCAGCAGGAGAGCTGAATGCAGTCTTACTCAGTCAACTTGTCGGCAAAATAAAAGGATAAATCTATCAGCTGGCTGATAGGTAATGACTTCACTGAAAAAAGAACAGTAACTGGGCAAACAGTTACATACACAATTTCATTAGTGTCTGAAAGACTGGACATGATGACTGACTCAATAAAACCGATAATATGCTGATGTTAAGTTAATTTCTTTGGCAGTTTATCTGAAAAGAATGATGAAAGGTTATTCTAAAGATGAAAAATAAACCTCATTGCCAAAAGCATATTGATTGCAGATTTTCTGTCATCCCTCTCCATCTTCTATAAAAGAGTAATGACTATTGCCATTCAGTTCACTGGTCTGTGTGGCATACCATCAGGAAGGAAGGTTTGAAAGACTTATTTTGTGAAAAAATGTTCTCTCCTTTAACTCTATAGCCTTTGTATAGAGAATTGTTTTGTCTTGGATATAAGTCTCTTTAAGTTTCCATTTTTTTCATTAAAACTCATTTACACAAACAACATCAAATATTGTAGGATATAAGATGACAAGCTACCCAAATGTTCTCTGTTTATTTAACGATGTTATGACAATGAGTATAGAGCTGCAAACATTACACGACTAACTGACAAGTAAACAGTACTTTGGACTTCTGGAATCACAAATTTTCTGAAATTTTATAGACAAAAATATTGAATGATGGAAAACACAATGTAATCTGAAATTATGGTTAGTTGCAGCCCAGAAAGGGAAAATTCAAGCGGAAGCTCAGAGCATGGTATAGTTTGGCTGGGCTTGGGTGTCACTATCATAAGAAAATAAGATATATTTAGGGGTTTTTACAGATCCTATTGACCAGGTTCAGCTTCCAGAGTGAATAGGTCAATAAAATGCTGAAATATGAATGCACGATTTGCAGTGACCAGAATCAATGTTATTGTTTTTTTTTGTGAGTTTTTTACTGGACTGACATTCTGTTCAGCATGACTTTTGATATAAGAGCTATGGGGAAATCACTTCTGTATCGATCACACAGCTGTTAACTAATTAGTTTGGAGGCAAAGAACCAATAAGTCCATACGCAGAAGCCTAATCAATCTTATTTATTTATTGTACTGATTCATTTGCACATTCTCCAAGCCAATACAGTATGCATGTCATAATACCAATTGTGTGCTATATGAAAATAAAGAGAAACATTTTAATGGCCTTCACAAGAAATTAAGTAACATACAGATACAGATACAGATAAGTATATATTTTTGGCCAATGACCATGACATTTTTGCAAATAATTAAACATGCAAAAATCATGTATCTATTTAACATGTAGACAAATGTTTTCCTTTCCAATTGAACTTCATTTTCAACTTCTTTAATCCTAGTTATATACACAATTTTATTAACTAGCCAAGGTTAGTCTTGTTCTCAACATGGTCCAGAAAGCAGCAAGGGTCTTCTAGGGGTGTGTAGTTATATCTTGTGGTTTGAAAGAGGAGAAAATGAAGGCTGTTGTAGTTGTCATTTGAACATCAAATCTTAAGAGAGAGAGAAACCACGATAACAAGCATATTATATTACTGCAGGCAGACAAATATTAACAACCACGCAAAAAAATAATATGTTCTTGCCGACACAGTAACCCACCTGAGAGGTTTTCCAGGCAACCTCAGGCACACAAAGCAGCCCCTCACCATGTGGGTAAAACACTTGCGCAGAGTAGCTCGACTCTCGAAAGTTGAAATCTGGTTGCGCAAATCAACCCGATTTCTGACACTTTGGGGACGAAGACCTTGAATGGAAGTGGACCATCTATGATTGGTCACTTTCAACACCATTACGGCAACATGATTCTTTGAACCTGGATTGACAGCTTCAATTACATGATGTTTGGCTACCCCAACAGAACCCCCCCCCCCCCTCAGCTCAGCTCTCTCATCCTAGACTGGCTTTAAATCTCACAGCTACTGGAACTTCAATGTTACTCTCTGGCTACTAAGTCACTTTCCCATCTGAACAATAAGCTTCCTTGTCTTCCTCAGTCCCTCTCGTCAATAAATTATTAAAGATAAAAAAATAAAACTAACTAATAGCCAAATTAACTGTTACACTGAGCCCAACACCGAAGCTGTAAATTAATAGCTAGTCATTGTTATACATGATTTAATAGTTTATACTGGTAGTTACATTTTTCAAGTAATGCTTACATTCCAATAAAGTTTGGTAACCAATACTGAAAGTGCAAAATGAGACAGGTTAACTTCTCAGCAAATTTGATAAAATTTGATAAAAATTCAAGTACATGCTAGAAGGTCAAAGAAGTGCGAGGCTACTTACCTTGACGTTGATAAGTTCTAAGTGATGAAAGTTAAAGATGGCCGAAAACTGTTACCGGCTAATTGGAGTGCAGCTCCATGCTATGGCTGGTGCTGCAAAGCCTATAGTCTAAAGATTTCTGCAAACCGATAACAATATTTGGTTGTTTGGCTATTACTCCTGTGTAGGCGCTGAGGTGATGGGACATTTATTCTTTTCAATTTCATCCATAAAAAGAAAACCTGCCACATTTAAAAGCTAGCCAGCAGATAGAGGGTGACAATAACAACAGGTTGGTGACATTGGATAGTCTCTATCGTGTACTACTTTTATTCACAAGCTAATAAGCAAGTTAATGTGGATACCAGGGGGGGGAAACCACACACTTGCTATTTTGAAAACTACTCACCTTGCTTTAGCCCAAGGCAACTGGCAATTAGCGGCCCACATCAACCTTCAACGTGGCCCTCAGGTCAATTTTTACACATCAATTAATCTTGAACATGAAGAAAACATGACTAAATCTGCCATGAAATCATGAAAACCAGAAGTATGTCCATAATAATATTTGATCACTGGCATATGTTGAGTTAAATTGGAGACAAAATTGACTGTAATCGTTTTTGTTTTTTTTGGCATCCTACAATTTGGCCCCCTGGCAAGTGAGAATTAAATGAATGTGGCCCTTGCTGTGACCAAAGTTGCCCCTCCCCTGCTTCAGCCACTTGAGGTTGGATTTTGATGTTTGGGATGCATGGTTAACTTACCTTCACTTTGGTTGGGGGAGCAGAAGCCTCCAGCTTCCCTGCTGGCTGGCTGGCTCCTGTGAAGCTGACCGAGGGAGAGAGAGGGGGGGAAAGGGGAGGAGGAGGAGGAGGAGGGTGAGGGGGCAGGGAGTGGAGTCTGTCACAGACCGCGGCGCATGTTGTCAGAGGAAATGGTATGCAGCTCGATCTGGGCTGTTCCTCCCTCTGTCCCGTAGCATACCGATCATCCGGCTGTTATTGCACCGAGGACATCCTGTTTTCATCTGACTAACCGGCTGCTGAGACACATTTTAGGGGAGTGTTTTTTTCGCTAAGTATGCCCCAAAGGAACCGCTAGAAACACGGTTAACAGCTGGACATGGCTTCGGTTCGGATTGTCAGCAAAGTTACGGCGAGAATTTTTGGAAGTATTCCGCCTGTTTGTTATTACGGTGTCAATGCTGCACGTCCAGTTACATTTCTCCAACAGGTAAATACGTCTTTAAGCTTTTTTTTTTAATGATTCAATTCGGTGTCAGTTTGCTACACTGCCGACCTGACTACGTCTACCGACATTTAACAAAGTAAAGTTGAACTGGTTTCCTGTTTTTGAACCCAAACATTAACATTCATGTGTGGCCCCTGTGCTGGTATTGAAACGCTAACTTCACTTACTTGAAATCGGGATTTCATTTTCAATTCCTCATTGTTGTCTGAGATCACATATAACATGAAAAAGACAACATAAGATTACTGTCTGTGATCACCCTTGGTATGTGTCCCTTTTTGTAAGCACTACTTACAGAGCAGCATACATAATTCAAGTAGGCTACATTGCATTGCTCTTCGGGGGTTTAGATAGTCCATAACTGTGTGTGTATAACAGATAAAGCCTTGAAAACTGTGACCTTTTTTGCACATTACCGTCCATTATCTCATCTCTAAAGCAAGGCTCATTCAATTACTCCTCTGAGAAAACCATTTCGGGCACTCATCCGAAGCAAGGGTCCGTGATCAGACTGCTAAACATACTGTACTTCTTAACTCTCAGCATGGACTTGACTTTCCCAGGAAAAATCCCAAGAGACATTTAACGTTGCCAACGCTAATTACCATGTCTGATTTTTCAGACGAAGGGTAAATGTGTTTCCGCACAGAGCTTTTAACTGGATACAATTAAATAACATAAGAGCACCACCAGGAGAATTTGAAGGTGGGACTGAACTCACAGTTCAATTCATAAGCTGTTAAAGTAGTAGTAGTAATAGTTCACAACAGATCACAGTTGAATCACTTATCTTTAATTTTCTATTTTATCATCTGATGCTAGAATATGCAGAGGTCAGCTAAAGCGTGAGGTAGCCTATCCCAAGTGGACAATCTTGGCCAGCAACAGGAAGAACAGGGAAACTGCTGAATGCCATATTCGTCTCCATACTTAGTGAATATTGACATACACTTTGTGGGGTTGAGGAGAAAGCCATTATGTCTGTAAAATGGGCAAGCTGTCATGAGTCACTCCTGCATGCAAGAATGACTAAGATGGGTACTATTTTTAGCCTGGATCATATATAATATCAGAGCTGAAGTTTTCCTCGTCTCAGAGGACAAACTGTATGAAAAATGCCCTCCAGCAATCAGCATGTAGACCTCTGAGGGCAGAGACATACTGCATTCAGCCATGCCATAATCCATAATTGTCTTGGAGGAGCTTCAGGCCTCTCAGGCAGACCCGTGCCCAGTCAGCTCATGCTTCACTGACTGCTTCTAAACCAGATCACATCTTACCTTTCAGTATGCTGAGCATGTTAATATGGCCAGTCTCACTACTTGGTCTGTGGCCCTCTTTGAAGCTTTGTAGGATCCGGCAGATGCCATGTGTTGTCTGTTCTAATACTCTCAACGTGGGTCCCCGAAATAACACGGTCAGCTTTCATAAACAGTAGATCTGGACTATTTGAGGAATATCCGTAATGTGTGAAACCATTTTTCAACATTGTGATGACATGTTGTGTGATACTGAAATAAGCATCTAAGGCTTAGATGCTCATTTCAATATCAAGTTATTGCTTAGATTCTAAGCAATAACTTGAGTTCTGTTCCTTCTGTTATGCATGTTTGACAAAGTTACTACACATCTTGTGTCTTTGAGTCCTGAATAGTCCTAAATAGCACAAGTTTTGTATTGTTTTTTCCACAGGCCCTATATTTTGGACAATATGATGTGATGAAGTGTTGTTTTAAAAGGTGTGGCTTAAATACAGCTTGTTATAAATAGGCGGGTACAATAAGAGACTTTGACGAGACAGAGAATCCTGCTGCATAATAAACCAGTTCAGGAATTAAGAAAACAAGTTGTAAGCTGTTATACAAGTCCGATCAATGGCACAGGCAAGTTATTCAGATCACCAAGAACGCAGTGTTGACAGAGGTAATAGACAGAGATCACTTCAGAGGTTTTTAATTAGAAAAGAAAAATGGAGTACCTCACACTTCGACTGAGCAAATCTTTCTTAACCAACTTGTTCTGTTCCCCTGCGTAGCATTGAGTATGCGCGCAGATGTGAACTGAATATAAAGCTGTGTCAGCAAGCAACAGTGTGCACTGTTCATAACCTGAGGTGTGTTCTTCAGTGGGTAGTCAGGAAGAGTATTATTTTTTTTTTGTCACATTTCATTTTAATCATTGTAAAAAATAAGCGCTTCATTCCCTAGAGCCCCCAGGAGGTAAACCCCCTAACAACACTAAACATCTGCTGTTACTTTTGTTCTGCCCTTCAGCAAAAGTTTGCTGCAGAGAAAAGCCTTATGAAGGCCGGCACTTTCCCTTTTATGCAAAGCTGCCAGGTGTTTCGCTTTTATGCCACCAAGTGATTTGATTTCAGATCATTTGTTTCTCTTCCTCAGTCAATGCGGAATGATATGAAGGTACACAGAATATGATGCAGTTTGAAATACTGCTAAGAGGGCATGAGTGCTGAGAACATTTTCAATTACAGTATAGTATAGTATGCACATTCTGCTGACTGCACATAAGCAAGTTTGTTCCGCAGCAGTAGTTAGTTACATTTAACCACAGGATGACAAATGAAGATGACATTTTGGCAGAAACACACTCGTTTGCAAATGTTTTCCTGAGTCATATATCGGAACCATCTCTGTGCGAAACAGGAAGAAGAATACGAAACAATAAGCATATGTCCATCAGAAGTGTGAAAAAAAAAACAGGGCTTCTAGCATAGCCTAAGCTTTTTTTTTGCACTGTATCTCATCTCTATCCAACACTGAATGCTCAACGATGATTGATATAGACCATTTAGAGAATGCAACCGAGCTTTTCCCCCTCATTTTGACTCTGCTCATTTCAGCACTGTGTGACATCAACACTGCACATTGTGAAAACAAATCGTGCACAAGGTTTCCACAGCATGCAGGTTTAAATCCAGAGGAAACAGTGCTGTTGTTATCACCATACAGTCATATTTATGGTTTCTACTTTAAGAACATTTGTGTCTGTGAGATATGTTTCTGCTATTTCATACGATCCAAAATGTCAAGGCAGCTGAAACAAACATGGGGTCGTTATCGAAAAGGGTTGACATTTTTTTGTCTGACAGCGGGCTCTGTCTGTTGACACATTCCAACATCTGGACTGACATTATTCTCTTACCTGGAAGCAATTTTACTTCAGCAAGCCAGACTGCCTGTTTCATGCCAGGCGTGTGGGATGTTCCATATTAGCACAGCATCAACAGAAATAGAACAAGACTGAACTCCTGGAAAAAAAAAGGATGTGGACATCACCTGTATAGTGGCTCTGTCAGACCTACGCTTTACTTATTAGTAGAGCTTTCCCTCGGGATAATAAAGTTTACCTTGACCTTGACCTTGAACAGCAGTTTGTTTAGGTTTCATGCTGGTGCTCAATAGTCACATCTAACTGGATCAAAAAGTCGAGCATTCTTCCTTTAAAAGCAGAACGAAGAAAAGCTTAATTCTTAACCTTAACTGAGTTACTTACACATGCAACTTAACTGGAACCCCGATTAAGCCGGCGATCATTGGACGTCAGTGAGTCAGACATGCACTCCTGCATATTTCTCAATGTGTATCAGTGTTAACATTTCAAAAAATGTAATTAATCAGAGTATATTTCACAGAAGAAGCACTTTTACGTACAATTAAATGGGATGAATCGCGATTGAATGTTGAAATTCAGCAATTTATCGTGATTAAAAAAGAATATTTGTTTGACAGCTCCTGTTAATTGATATCTAGGTCTTTCACTTGATACCAGTACTCTGAATGGAAAAAACCTCGAAAGAGCTGTAGTGAGAGAATGCTATAGCAGGGTTGTAGACTCCATTTACACCTTATTTAACATGTTATCTGGGACATCTGATGGACTAGTGGATAAAAGGCATCCTGCATGCACTATACCAACATCTTTTTACTCCCTTGTTTCCCCTCTTCGCTGTCTTCTATCAGCTGTCCAGCAAAGATGAGAACAAATGTGTGATCTTTATAGCTCTGCTGGATTAAAGAAAATGTGCGACGATACACTGTCTTTGTGCATGCAGAACTCAGTGCAGTTTGAGAGCTATCAGACAGAACAGGTCTGGAGGGGTCTGCAATGTAATCAGATACCAGCCAGGTCAGTCAATCAATAAACCACATTCTTAATCTAACTCAGCATGGCTCTCCTGTCAAGCAGCGCTGGAAAAGCACTGAAGGCATACTTTACCCCTGCCAATGAAAATACGTCGGTACACCAACAATGCTTCTCTTGACCTAGGTTCCCATCAACCCGCCCACCTCTCTAGTTTGCATATTTCGATCCGCAAGTCAACGTGCAAATTGCCTATTGAAAATAGAAGGGCACTCAGAGAGCACACACTCCTGCAGAGGCCAACAGTCCTTTCCTTAGTGGAATGTTTATCTTCAGGCGTGCTTTGTCTGGTTGCTTGTTTGTGAGACTTACAGTGTCCACTATTGCTTGTTCGTGAGGGCTTCAATTGCCTGTCTCTTGATCCATGGTGGTGGTTCAGGGTTGAATAGCATGCTCTTTAAACATAATTGTTTAAAGGCATATTAAGCCTTTAAACAATTATGTTTTTTTAATATACAATTTAAATGTTTTCAAAATCATGAATGTCCTGGCACAGTCACTAAAGTTTACACTTGCACTATGCCTGTGCCAAGACATTATTGATTTACGTTTACTTGCAGAAAACTGAGTGTATTATTACCCTTGAGGTAAAAAAAAAATAGATGCTTGAAATAAGTCACTTCACGTTGTTTGTTGAGTTACAGTGCCTTGCCAATAGCACTTGTTGGAATTACTCTAAGAAGACGTCATTGAAACCTTCAAATGTAACCGTATTAGTTACAACAATGTGAGTTTATGATATTTGCACAAGGACTGAAGCCTTTTTGCAAACACTTGGAAAGAATGGGCGGTGACCACTTATTGGTGGTGAAGTCCATAAA